AACAATGTTACTAGGTCACCTGTAACTTATCTCTTGAATAAGGACTATGTGGGGTATACGAGCTTGCTTACTACAGGCTCTTCATAATCATTTTGTTAAATAATTCTACAAAGAAGGGAAACAAATTCACATATTACTTTGAATATTGTAGATTGTTCAGGTAGTCTTTGAGCTATTTCTTTGTACAGCAGAACCACTAGTAGTTATCTTCACTTCACACACATATATATATATCTTGACGAACAAATAAAAAAGCTATAGACAATGAATACAATTCATATCTATTCTATTGTCAGTCACCCTACCTACCATGAACTGAAATGTCTCCTAAGATTCAGTAGGTAAATTATGTAAAAATCAAGACTTGCATCAAAAATACCCCAATATGAGAGACAATGGCGTCATTTTTCCTTAGAGCTTTCAGCTCTTTGATTGTACACTTGTGGGGTATATAGAAATACTGGGTGTCCCTCTGTCCGTCTGTCTGGTTATGTGAGTGCTCTCATATGTACAATTCTTGCCAGATTTTTATGAAATTCATATCAAAGGTTTATATCAGAATCATTTCGGACAATTTTGGTAATCAGTGCCAACCAAATTTTGAAAAGAGTTAATATTAATTGTATAGAATTTGCATTGTAAATCAGTGTTGATCTATTATTTTTACAGGAATTATGAAACTTTGAAATGTAATTTATATTGAATATTGCATTGTTAGCACCCTCACACCTACAATCTTGTCAAATTTTTGTGAAGTTCGTATCAAATACTGATATCAGCAAGGTCTTTGAAGAGTGCCTACAAATTATTTTTACATGAGTTATGCCCTTGGAAAAAGAAATATATAAAAATAACATTGTAAGTGATCTCATGCCTACATTTCTTGTACATGTAAGATATTTATTAAAAAGTATAAAAAAGAAAAATAAGATATGTGCAACACAGGGGACATACATTGGAAATCTGTTCTTTATCTCATATACATGAAATGTAGCAGAATGTGAGAATGATTGAATGTTGCTAACTTAATGTTCAGCAGCAAATATTTCATGCATATTCAGGACGATGGCATTGGCTGATGGCATAAACACTGTATAAAGCTTTATATTTCAGAAGGTACATTTGCTGGGTAATCCTTACCCTGCAAACAGAGGCCTATAAGTATTCTGAAGTTTCTGTATGGCATATGTCTTTTGTCCTTGATATAGTTTTCATGGTTCATGACAGCATACTTGTTTTTGAGTTATTTGAGTAATAGGGCAACCATATTTGGTATATAGAGCTGTTGCAAGGTATACATGCCTTAGAGCATCACTGATGAGTCTTTTGTAGACCAAATGCACTTCTGGTTTAAAATTTTTGTAACAAATGCTAAATAACTTAGTTATATGCCAATTGTATTTTGTGTATATAATGAGTTTAAGGTGCAAATGTCCATTAGACAGGGACAGTCTGACTTTGACCTTATTTTCCTGGACCATTGATAATGGAAAGTTTTTGTATATCTATAGTAAGACCTTGGTCTTAAAGAATTTTATAAAAAAAAATCAATCATAATCATAAATCAGGCAAGGCATTTGAGCAGGTGCTCTCTTCTTTATCCCAGGGAGGACATATTTGTATAATTTTCAATGAGCAAAACTGTTTAACTATGTAAAAAATTATAGGAATGATGGATTATTTTAATTTTCTTACAATAGATGCAAGGGAAATTAATTTGGAATGGCTTTATGTCCTCAAAATATTCTGTTTATTTATAAATAAGTGTTCTTATGCTTTGTTTTAACTGGGCAGAAAGCCACGAAAAAGAAATGTTTCAGTTTAAGAGTAGTATATATCATGTTTAATGTGGAATTTTAATTGAAGTTGAATTGGTGTATTGGTTTTTAACATGCAATAATTTTAAAAGCTGAATAAAGTTCATTAAATTCTAAATTTATGGGAAATTAAATATATTGTTTAACATTTTGTACTCTAATGTATAGGAAAAGCATATCTTGTGGTCATAGTTATTGAATATTATTTCCTCCTGTAACTGATTTATTGTTTGCAGATCTCTGAGCCCATAACCTGAGTTGTAAATTTTTAAAAAGAAATTTTAAATTTAAGGTTTGAATATCTGTAAAAAAAAAACATTTTGAATTAGATGTACAAGTTTAATGCTATGTTAATTATACTTTAAAGTCATCTTTAATACCATTGATACTTTGAAGGATTACAATCATTGTGTAGGAATCAATGACAATGTCATGATACAGATAAACACATCAGACCAGTAATTAAAGAATTAAACAATTGCTTTACATTAGATTATAGAAAACTGTGTCGTATATTTGTATGACGTTGGCGTCGTCGTCGTCGTTGTCGTTGTTGTCGTCCGAAGACACATTGGTTTTCGCACAATAACTTTAGTTTAAGTGAATGGATCTCTATGAAATTTTACCATAAGGTTCAATACATTTTTTGTACCACAAAAGGAAGGTTGGGATTGATTTTGGGGGTTATGGTACCAACAGTTAAGGAAAAAGGGGCCAAAAATAAGCATTTTTCTAGTTTCCAGACAATAACTTGTGGAACGGTGTATGGATCTCTCTGAAATTATACCACAAGTTTCCATACCACAAAAGGATGGTAAAGATTTGCCTTAGGGGGTAAAAAACTGTTTAGGAATTAGGGGCAAAAAAGGGGGAAAAACAAGGGTGTCCTGGTTAATGGACAAATACTTTAGTACAAAACATAATTTAAAGCAGTGTAAGGGAGGTAATTCAAATACATCATTTGAATTACCTCCCTTACACTGCTTTTAAATTATGTATAAAGCAATGGTTAATGAACAATTAAGACAATTAAAAAGCAGTGTAAGGGAGGTAACCCAAATACGTTTTGATTACCTCCCTTAAACTGCTTTTAAATTATGTTTAAAGAAATGCATATTTTTAAAGGAAGACCAGTAAAAATATCTGCAAATGTTGCATCTTTTTTTTTTTACAAAAAAATCCATATGAAAGATTTGACACCATACTATGGTAAATTTAAATGGGTAATTATGGTTGCAAACTCCATTGGAAATTTGAATTGAGATTATGACCATACCTTGAGGGAAAGAATTTTTTTGGGGGAAAAAGAAATTGTGGGGGGTCAATTTTTTCTCATTTCAGATTTCAGAAATTAAAAAGAAAAATTCTTCAAATATTATTTTTTTTGCAAAAAAAAAGTGTGTGTGTGTGGGGGGGGTTAATACGCAACAGCATAGCGTATTGCACAAAAGCAAAAAAAAAGGGGGGTAAATTTTTTATTTTTTTTGTGGGGGAAGGGGGGTCAATTCACAACAGCAAAGTGTATTGCACAAAAGCAAAAAATTGAATATGAATTCAAAACATATATCATATAATCAATTCTAAGTTCTTTGACTACAGTTATTCTGTGTCAGAAACTTTTATGTGTCAAGTATTTAATTACAATCCAAATTCAGACCTGTATCAAGCGCGAATATTGGGTCCATTTTTGCCCCAACTGTTCAGGGTTGGACCTCTGCGGTCGTATTCAGCTGTGCTCGGCAAAGCAATTTATTTTAATATGTTCATGCTATAATATCTAAGAATTTGCAATTTCAACATGACACAGGAAAATTGAATGATAAATATAAGTAAAATCAACAATGTTACCCTTCAAGTGCTCAAATACATTTGAGTTATCTGTAAACTATACTCAAACTTATTGATATTCAAGTCGTGTTTGGTTTGGAATTACTACCACTTTGAATAGTCAGGCCAAGAGAACTGCTCGTTCTGATTTGACCTACTTTTGATCTAAATACAGCCATAAAACATCGGTATCATTTTCACTGTTGTGTACTTTATTTTAAGCATTTGTTGTGGATGTTAATAATGCTCATAATGAATAAATGTATTGAATTATATGTAAGTTTCCTGCTCTGTTTAATAAGATATATATAGCTTGATTTTTGTAAGTATTTGTGAATTGAATAGACTCATATTCTATTTGTGTCAGTATGGTTTGTCTTCTTCTGAGTTTATACAGGTTGATATAGGCTTTATATTGGGGATCTATGATTGGTAAAGGTTAAGGTTTAAACATTGAAGTATTGCACAAGGTGAATTATTTCCGAGCATTATGAATTTGATTGTCAAAATTGACTCACTACATAGGAACACTTTTGAAACTTTTTTGAAAATACTGACATTTTTGTATAGTTTTTGATTGTTCTGAATATAACCCAACACTTCTACCAATTACAGCTGTTTTTCAATTCACAATTCATTATTTTGAACTTAAGAGTTTTGTAATGTCAATTTCTCATCCTAAAGCAACAGTCTTGCCTGATTAATAACATTAACATGGTTTTCTCATCCTAAAGCAACAGTCTTGCCTGATTAATAACATTAACAAGGTTTTCTCATCCTAAAGCAACAGTCTTGCCTGATTAATAACATTAACATGGTTTTCTCATCCTAAAGCAACAGTCTTGCCTGATTAATAACATTAACAAGGTTTTCTCATCCTAAAGCAACAGTCTTGCCTGATTAATAACATTAACATGGTTTTCTCATCCTAAAGCAACAGTCTTGCCTGATTAATAACATTAACAAGGTTTTCTCATCCTAAAGCAACAGTCTTGCCTGATTAATAACATTAACAAGGTTTTCTCATCCTAAAGCAACAGTCTTGCCTGATTAATAACATTAACAAGGTTTTCTCATCCTAAAGCAACAGTCTTGCCTGATTAATAACATTAACATGGTTTTCTCATCCTAAAGCAACAGTCTTGCCTGATTAATAACATTAACAAGGTTTTCTCATCCTAAAGCAACAGTCTTGCCTGATTAATAACATTAACATGGTTTTCTCATCCTAAAGCAACAGTCTTGCCTGATTAATAACATTAACATGGTTTTTCTCATCCTAAAGCAACAGTGTTGCCTGATTAATAACATTAACAAGGTTTTAGGTTGACTAGATGTATATTTTTATATTTCCAGGATACAACAGGGTAACACATAAGATTGTAGAAACAGAAGGTAAAGATGTGGAACATATCTGTGGATGTTCATTGTTAGATAACCATAGTGTTAACCTATTATCATCATTGTTTTGTGGATTGTTGACACCTAAAGTTGCGTTTTATTTGTGGTGGTTGTTATTGTGATTAACCATTATTTTATGTGAACTTCAGCGACTCAAACTAAGCATAATCACTTATTAGTAATATCGGCAATTAGTTTATTTTCCTTTTGATCTTACTGCCTAATATTTTTGCAGATCATGGACAGGACCTATTACTCGAAAAATATTAGGCAATGGCATCAGGTATCAAACCACCAAACAATATCACAATGCTTTGTATGCTTAAAAAAAGTTTTACTAACTATTTCATTTTATTTCATACAAGAACACACCCGCAACATCGCGGTTCGTGGCTTAATTAAAGTACCTACGCCTTATTTTAGCCACGATTTTTAGTTTTCATATTGTCATCTGATAAAGTCATGCTGATTATAATGTGCACAGTTTTCTCTTCTTTCAAAATCTTTCTGTTTGAAACCGTCCTGGTTTTTATACGCCCTTTTACGGGACGTATTATGGTATACCGTTGTCCGTCTGTCCGTCCGTCCGTCGTCAACATGTCGGACATTAACTCAAAAATGCTTTAACCAATTTGCATAAAACTTTGGTGAATTGTTTATATCTATTGACGTGAGCTTCCTTTCGTTTTTTATAAAATTCAGATTTTATGTTTCCAAGTTATGGGGTTTTATTCATTAAAAAAAGGGAGATTTTCCAGTTTTCGGACAATAAGTCAAGAATGTTTTCACTAACTTGCAAGAATCTTTGGTGAATTGTTTGTATATATTGATGTAAGCTCCCTTTAGAATATTATCAATTTTACATTCTACATTTCTGAGTTATGGGGTTTTATTCATTAAAAAAAGGGGTGATTTTCCAGTTTTCAGACAATAACTCAAAAATGCTGTCACCAATTCTCATGAAACTTTGGTGAATTGTTTATATCTATTTTCATAAATTTCTGATATGACATTGAGAATTAATTGAACTTTATTTGTTTATAGTCTGACAACAGATTTACTAAGTATTGCACAACAGCAAGAAATCTTTAATTGAATATAAATTCAATTCATATAACCAATTTCAAGATCTTTGACTACATTTATTCAGAAACCTATAATATGTCAAATATTTAATTACAATCCAAATTCCAACCTGAATCAAGCTTGAATATTGTGTCCATTTTTGCCCTCTGCAGGCGTATCTAGCTGCGCTCAGCGAAGCAGTTTATCTTACTACATGTACAACCGGAAACTACATGTGATATATGTCAGGGATTAAACTGAAATTCCATATATATATGTGCATTATGTAAATAATTCACTTGCACTAAATAGGTGTAAACAGTATTCAATTGCAGTGACAGATTTTGCATTTCTATATATTTTAATGACAATAATATTTTATGAAGGAATGTATATACCCTTTTTGCTACATTTAAATTCTTAATTTTTTATTTTTAAATAAGTAGTATTAAAATTAAAGGCTTTTAATACCGTGTGACAAGGGTGCTTTGATAACGGTGGAATTTACTAAGAGAAGAAGACGACATATACTATTGGTATGGGTATCGGATTCGATCAGGAACTTGTTAATTATTGGTATTATTAATTATGTGGAAAACAAAAGAGCCTGGAACGGTGTAATTTTTAATCAACACCATTGTCCTATATTAGTTATATAAAAAGTTGAATTCTTTGATTCATCGTTTTTACGTCATGCCGGCCAACAATTTGGACCTCGTTATTTTAGAAGTATAGATTAGTGGTTTATGCTTATGGGGATTTGTTTGGAAGACTTGGTAACAGCATCCTGTTAGAATCATTTCTTGTTACACTATAATATTAACAGTTGGAATCATTTGTCACATTAATGCCATTTTGTATATGTTACAGGCATTTACTAAATTAAGGCATTTTATAGAATGCCTGTGAAGGTTAAGGATAAATTGACTATTTTTGTTCAGTATTTAACAAAATGCCTGGAAAAATTGAAAGGCATTTTAGAAAATGCCTGAAATTTTAACATAGAATCTGTGAATGAAATGTTCATAAAAACTGAGCCTCTCAAAGTATTTTGAAGAACAGTGCATTTTATTCTATGATTGATACTGAATTTATTAAGATGCCTGTTCAAGTTTTAGTTCTACTGAATTATGTGCAATTACCACATGCACTAACAATATTTTGTTATTTCATGTTATGTTTGTGGCAGTATCTCTTACAAGTATGTCCTGATTTTTTGGCAAAGCTATTGTTTGGTGTAAAATCTGGTCCTACCATTATCACTACAAACACATTTGGTGAAACCCTTACCGTAACACTTTCAGCTCCTGTCAAATCTTTTTCTGATAAAACACTTAAACATTTTAAAACATGTTTTTTTTTATTTGCAAAACAGCACATACATCATTATCTTCTTCTATTTCCCATGTTCCCAAAAAAGTGGTGCACACTTTTACATAACCTGCTACGTGGGTCATTCAGTGTGACCACATTTTTAATGTTATTTCTTCATAGACAGAATACAGTCATTCCTTAAATATATCAACTTTTCAACGAAAGGAAGAAACTTCTGTATGTAAATTATTCTGACAATAAATTTTAAGAGAATGAAATATTAGAAAATAAGAGAAAGAAGTAAATGGATTCAATTCAAGTTTTCATGATATTTTGTAAAAAATTATAATATTTGTCAATTTACTCCTAATTTGTAGTATTGGCCTACCAAAGTTCATTCATCAAGAATTGGCTAGAAAATATTGAGATAGGATCCATTTTGTTCCTTTCAAATTATATCCTAATTCACACCATGTTTGTGTTAGCTAAGGTCCTTACATAAGCCATTAAATTTATTGTTTCATTCTTCTTATTTGTTATTGTATATTTAAACAAGATGAAAGAATTGTCAATACTCATATTTAATACGTATACCTTTAGTTATGTCCCCTTACATATATGTGGGAAGACATATTATACATGTCCTGTTCATCTGGTTGCCTTTCATAAAAGTTGGTCAAAGCTCATTTTCATACAGTTTAAAGAGTGCAAAGAAACTTGTCATACTTCCTCTGCACCTCAGAGGATAATCTTTACAATATTTAAAACTTATTAAGTATCTGTCCTTGATGAAGTAGCTGATTATGCGGTATGGATTTTGCTCATTGTATTTTTTTAGTCCCCTACCGACGAAGTCAAGGGGGGACTTTAGGTTTGCACTCTGTCTGTCTGTCTGTCTGTCCATCCGTCAGTCTGGCAAATCAGTTTTCCACACTTTTTTTCTTCGTTCTTGATGATATTGATTATATATTTGGTGTATTGTTTCATCATGACCAGTTACAGATCAAGTTCGAATTTTGTTCCGGTCTGATGATTTTGTGCAGAGTTATGGTCCTTGGACTTGGAAAACTCACTCAAATAATCATTTTTCCTCATGCTTGAAAATATTGATTTGATAATTGGTATATAGCTTTATCATGACAAGTTACAGATCAAATTCGAATTTTGTTCTGGTCTGATGATTTTGTGCAGAGTTATGGTCCTTTGAAATAGAAAATTCACTCAAATAATCAGTTTTCCATACTTTTTTCATCATGCTTGAAGATATTGACTTGATATTTGTTATAAAGTTAACACCATGACAAATTATAGTACAAGTTAGCATTTTGTTACAGTACAATGAATTTTTAACCGGTAGGGGACTATGTATTGACATGCAATAATATCAGAATGCTTGTTTAATTTACTTTTATTGGTTTGCCATCCCTTAAAAAAATTGTATGAACTTAATTATTTGTTACTTTAAAACTAATACTATTTTTTTTAAATGCCAACTTTGCAGACCACATTTTACTATGTAAATTCACCGATTTTTGTCTCGACTTGACAGAGTCAAAAAGCGAGACATAGGTTTGCTGTTTCCGGCAGCGGCATCAACAATGTATTAGTTTGTGATTAGGTCTAGTTTATGGTGAACCACTAGTGGTAAGTCAATGATAATTGATATGCAGTTGTATTAGCATTGGCACATCTCATTACCATGGTAATTATTTGGCACTGCCCTCTCAGTCATGGCCTATTGACTTTGAAACTTTGCTTAGTTTACATGTATTAGTGTGTGATTAGGTCTAGTTTATGGTGAACCACTAGTGGTAGGTCAATGATATTTGGTATGCAGTTGAATAAGCATTGGCATATCTCATTTCCATGGAGATTATTTGGCCACACTACCTCAGTCTTGATTTATTGACTTTGAAACTTTTGCTTATTTTACATGTATTAGTTTGTAATTATATCAGTTTAACGGGAATCATTAGTGGTAAGTCAATGATAATTGGTATGAAGTTGTATAATCATTAGCGCATCTTATTTCCATGGAGAATATTTGGTCCTTTCTCCTCAGTCATGGTCTATAGACTTTGAAACTTTTGCTTGGTTTACATGTATTAGTTTATGATTAGGTCAGTTCAAGATGAACCTCTAATGTTAAGTCAATGATATTTCATTTCCATGGAGATTATATAGCCCAATCCCCTCATCATGGTTCATTGACTTTGAAACTTTTACATAGTTTACAAGTTAATGTTTGTGTTTATGTTTGTTTAAAGGGAACGACTTATGAAAAGTCAATGGTATTTGGTATGCAGTTGCATTAGATTTGGCACATCTCCTTTCCATGGAGATTGTATAGCCCTGTACCTTCAATCATGGTTCATTGACTTTGAATATTTGCATAACTTACATGTTAAAGTATTGCTATTTTAGTTTCAACATTTGCATTATCAAAATAACAAAATAACAAATAGGCAAGGCATATCTCTGTGTTAACAGTTTATTATAACTTACTCTTAAAATCTATTTACTTTTTAGATTTAACAAGTAATTCTGCAGGTACCCTTATACACTACTTGAACTGAGGAAATGAATTTGGATAGGATAGATGCTCTACCTTTCCATTTATATAAATCATTTAAATTATCAATAGTCAGCAGCAATTTGAACTTGGTATTTCTGATTTACTTTTAGCAAGTATTGTCATTAACCAATGATTTGAGTCTTTTTTGGTACAAATTTGGTCCTTTCATTGCAGATTTACAGTCTACCTTTCAACAAAACTTTATTATACCCCATGCAACGAGTTGCGGAGGGTATAATGTTTTTGACCCGTCCGTCCGTCTGTCCGTCAGTACGTCAGTCCGTCAGTCCTATTTCTTGTCATCGCAACTCCTCTGAAACCACACAACAGAATTTCACGAAACCTTTTCAGATAATAAGGACATACAACGTAGATGTGCATATCGACAGGAAATTAAGATTCAATTTTTTTCCCAGGAGTTAGGCTCCTTTGAACTTATTTGCCAAATATACTACTGCAACCTTTTGTCATCGCAACTTCTCTCAAACCACACAACAGAATTTCATGAAACCTTTTCAGATAATAAGGACATACTACGTAGATGTGCATATCGACAGGAAATTACGATTCAATTTTTTTCCAGGAGTTACGCCCCTTTGAATTTATTTGCCCAATATACTACTGCAACCTTTTGTCATCGCAACTACTCTCAAACCACACAACAGAACTTCATTAAACCTTTTCAGATAATAAGGACATACTACGTAGATGTGCATATCGACAGGAAATTAAGATTCAATTTTTTTCCAAGATTTACGCCCCTTTGAACTTATTTGCTTTAATGTACTACTGCAACAGTTTGTCATCACAACTCCTCTGAAACCACACAACAGAATTTCATGAAACTTTGTAGATAATAAGGACATACTATGTAGATTTGCATATTGACAGGAAATTATGATTCAATTTTTTTTTCTTATACAATTTTTTTTTCTTACACTTATTTTATTTCTCCAATGACAATGTGGGGACGTGGGGTATGTGAGCGCGCTCACTAAGGTTCTTTAATTTTTAGAAAAATCATTCATAAACAGTAATAACTGTGCTTATTTTGATATTTCTTCATTGTGCTGACCTTGACATCAGAATCTGCTAATATATGGATATTCAGGTTTAACCTGGTTGTCTGTACTGACTCTGTAGCTGAAGTCATAGAAATAATGTATTTGCATGATAATCCATGTTTAACAGTTGAGGCCAAGTGTAAAAAGAATAGCAAAATTTTAATTAATATATTGATGCAAAAATCTTCAATATATTTGTTAGAGTCAAAGTTTAATAATTATATTAGTTTAATAAGTTATCTAAGATGCTTGTTTTTTTAGCAGAATCTGCATAGTTGTATGATTTTTGTATAGTAAAAGCTTTTGCTGTTACAAATGTAATGTTTTTTGTAAGCAGATAATAATTATTTGATGTTTTTTTTATATTTATACACAGAAGTATTGATTTGTTATGATTATTAAAATGAAGCAGAAATTATTGCAGTGAATTATTATTATTTGATCATGCCTACATAATAACTTATATTTACAGACTCGTTATATTTGCTTATAGAACAGAGAGGATGTTACAAGATTTTATTTGAATGTTTAGGGAATGACATTTGTTTTTGTCTTGCCTTGACAGAGTCAAAATACAAGAGATAGGTATGCTGCTTCTGGCTGCAAAGGTGTTGTCAGCGTCAAGAATGTATTAGTTTGTGATTATGTCAGTTTATGGGGAACCACTAGTGGCAGGTCAATGATATTTGGTTTGCAGTTGTATCAGCATTAGCACATCTCATTTCCATGGAGATTATTTGGCCCTGCACCCTCAGTCATGGTCTATTGACTTTGAAACTTTTGCTTAGTTTACATGTAATAGTTTGTGATTAGATCAGTTCATGGTGAACCACCAGCGGTAGGTCAATGGTATTTAGTATGCAGTTGTATTAGCATTGGCACATCTCATTTCCATGGAGATTATATTGCCCCGCCCTCCCAGTCATTGTCTATTGACTTTTGCTTAGTTTACATGTATTAGTTTGTGATTAGGTCTAGTTTATGGTGAACCACTAGTGGTAGGTCAATGATATTTGGTATGCAGTTGTATTAAAATTGGCAAATCTTATTTCCATGGAGATTATTTGGCCCTGCAGTCATGTTCTATTGACTTTGAAACTTTTGCTTAGTTTACGTGTATTAGTTTGTGATTAGGTCAGTTGATGGTGAACCACTAGCACAAGTGGAAGGTCAATGATATTTGGTATACAGTTGTATTAGCATTGGCAAATCTCATTTCCATGGAGATTGTTTGGCGCTGAACCTTCAGTCATGGTTCATTGCTATTTTAATCTCAGCATTTGCATTTTACTATCAAAATAACAAAAAGGCGAGACATATCTCTGTGTTAACAGTTTATTACCATTTTGGTAGTTCTTAAACAGAAATCCTAGTATTTAGAAATCAGAATTAGTGGGTAATGTAGACTTTATGTTTTGATTTTGTATTACTCTAGAATAATTCTATTTAGGAGTGCTAGTTCATGATCTTGGATAACCCTTTCATATGTTTCATTATGCCCATTCTATATTATGTTTGCAAATACCATTCATGTTTTTATGGTACTCTGTCCATATTTGGTATTCAGGACCTCAAATGGTAGTCATTAAATGTATTATCTTATTTTTCTGACACATTAAGGCTATTTGATGAGAGCTATGGACTTGCTACATTAGGTGAAATGTAAAAAAGAATCGCCCTATGATTCCCATTTTAGCTTAGAAAAAAGTATTAATGAGAAGTTGCCTATAATTGCTAACATCCACTTCATTTGAACTGTGGTGGATAGTTGTCTCATTGGCAATCATACCACACCTTATTTTTATATAAGTGTCACCCTAGATTTTTATTAAATTTACCTGATGCCTAAATGGGTACAAGGCTCCGTGTTGAAGACCATACTTTGACCTATAATGGTTTACTTTTGTAAATTTTGACTTGGATGGAGAGTTGTATCATTGGCACTCATACCACATCTTCTTATATCTATATATAAGCAGTTTAGAGAAAAAAAAACTATTGAATCACCAGTACAATTGTTAAAAGATATATACATGTGTCTTTTCTGAAGAATCGATACTGTTGACTACTTTGAGACTGAGGTTAAGTCAAAATTACTGTAAGGAGCTCCAGAATTCGATTTCAGGATGTTGATTAATGATTATGGACCTCCTGAAAAATTGGAACAGGATTCCTGCATAATTCTATTTCAGAATATCCAAAAATATTTCAGGAACTCCACAAATAATCTTTTAGAATTGCTTTTATTTTTGGTACCTCCACAATCCACAAATAGGAAACAAACTTTAAGGTGAAAAACAGCAATAAAAGCACTGTTCCTTTGATTTTTGTGGTTTTTGCTGTGCATGTTGTGATTTTGTGTCATGGATGGATGCCCCAAACTCATTTTCTACTATCCCGAAGTTTAAGGATTACAATGTTTGCCTACCATTACTTCAAACGGATTTTTGCTTTCTTTGCATTGATTGATTGCTTGTCCAGATCAATATATCAACAAATTCCTTAACTGCAAAATTGAATTTAACAAACTTTAGTCGCAAGAGTGTCAGAAGTTGAACGTGTAACTGTTCCTTACGTCGGGCTACCACATATATTTTGTATTCTGCTAACACTTCTTTCATGTTATTCTGCTAACACTCCTTTCATCGAATTCTGCTAACACTCCTTTCATCGAATTGTGCTAACACTCCTTTCATCTGGTTTCGCTAACACTCCTTTTATCTGATTCTGCTAACACTCTTTTCATCTCATTCTGCTAACCCTCCTTTCATCTGGTTTGCTAACTCCTTTCATCGTATTCTGCTTACATTCATTTCATCGTATTCTGCTAACATTCCTTTCATCGTATTGGTCTGAAACTTTTCATCGTATTCTGCTAACACTCCTTTCACCTTATTCTGCTAACACTCCTTTCGTTTTTTTCTGCTAACATTCCTTGCATCGTATTATGCTAGCACTCCTTTCATCTTATTATGCTAACACTACTTCCATCTTATTCTGTTAACATTCCTTGCATCGATTTATGCAAAAACTCCTTTCACGTATTCTTCCATCATTCCTTTCATCGTATTCCGCCAACATTTCTTTCATCGTATTATGCTAACACTACTTTCATCGTATTATGCTGAAACTCCTTTCGTCGTATTCTGCAATCATTCCTTTCGTCTGATTCTGCAATTATTCTTTTTCATCGGAATCTTCTAACATTCCTTTCATCGTATTTTATAACACTACTTTCATCGTATAATGCTACAATGCACATACTACTTTCATCGTATTGTGCTGAAACGCTGATCGTATTCTGCTAACATTCCTTTTATCTTATTCTGCTAACACTCCTTTCATCTTATTCTGCTAACATTCTTTTCATCTAATTCTGCTAATATTCCTTGCATCATATTACGCTAGCACTCCGTTCATCTTTTTCTGCTCAGAGGCGGATTTAGGGGGAACCTCCCCCCCCCCTTTTTTGTGGTAAAAATTTTGTTGATTATTTAGGGAATCACTGGAGCGGGCCCCCTCTTATGGCAGTCAGTGGCCCCCCCTATGAAAATTTCTGGATCCGCCACTGCTGCTAACACTCCTTTCATCTTATTCTGTTAACATTCCTTGCATCGTATTATGCAAAAACTCCTTTTATCGTATTCTGCTATCATTCCTTTCATCGTATTCCGCTTGCATTTTCTTCATCGTATTATGCTAACACTACTTTCATCGTATTATGCTGAAACTCAGTCGTCGTACTTTCCAATCATTCCTTTTATCGGAATCTGCTAACATTTATTTCGTCGTATTGTTATAACACTACTTTCATCGTATTATGCTATTATGCTAACATTACTTTGATCGTATTACTGTTTCTCTTTTTTTTTCGGTAAGGAGTTGACCTCATATTTAAGTGATTAAATAACTGCGCTCGGTAAAGCAGAAACCTTCTACATTGAAATACATAGAATAACTAAACGGTATGGGTTTTTCTCATTGTTGAAGGCCGGACAGTTGCCTATAATTGCTTACATCTACTTCATTTTAAATCTGGTTGATAGCTGTTTCATTGGCTTTCATATCACATCTGCTTAATTTTATTCTATTTTCATTGTATATAAAAATATATATGTTACAGTGAATTTGTAAAATTAGTGATTTTGTCAAATCTCTGAAATTTCCGGAGTTCTGTATATTCACTAAGTTGATGAGTGCATTTGTGAAATCCATAATTTTCGTTAAGGATTTTGCAAAATCACTGAAATATAATTTAGAGCTTTTAATGAAGATATCTGACATTGTGTGTAACTTTAATACGTGTATGTCCGATAAGTAATAAAAAATCTTACTTCAATAGGTCATCATATTTTAGGGATTTTGTAAAATCTCTGAAAAACGAATGAAATATTTCGACCTGTGGATGTGTGTAGGAGTGATATTTGATTTGTCCTCGTGTAGGATTTTTATCCTTGGGTAGAACTATCAAAAAATGTCTGGACAATTGAATTTTGGAATGACGGAAGTAAAACGTTTAGTGGTGGTTTTCGCCTATGTAAATTGTCTGATATAATTTAAGTAGTCACACACATAATTAAAATTAGTAGAAAAAGAAATAAACCGGAGATGATCTTATCTAGTCCCTGATTTTAGTGATTAAATTTCTAATAGAATAAATAAGATTTTAAAGAAATCAAGGACAGAATTTAGCTGATTTTGAATGATTTTGCACTTTTTAATGGAATTTATAAGCATCATACTTTTTAAATTCATGACGTCCACAAAATTAAAATTAAATTGATAAAACTTAAGATCAGAACAAAGTTCAATCGATATCTGACACTGGATTTTTATGTTCCCGTGTTTTTTCCACTTCTATGACTATGTAGCAACATTCCAGCAGTGCCTGTATTTATGGATTATATATATATTCAACCCGAGATTGTGTTGAACATGAGAAACTCTGTAGATTTATTAAATATATTTCTTTGAAAGTCTATCCTCCTGGTTAAAAACAACTATATGTTTATTTATCTTTTGTCCAAATATGTATTTTAATATCATATAAAAGAAAGTCATTTGTATTTCACACATGCTGTATTTAAATTTGTTTATCATTGTAATATTATCTTCTCTGTAACTATGTATATAGTTTATGAGAATTAAGATCATTCATTCATTCATATCTCCAATTTGAAACGATATTCCAGAGCTTGCGTTTCTTATAATGATTTCCTTGGTAGATCTAGGTTGTTGCTTTCGATGAAGTTATTGAACCAAGGGTTCCTATTTCTAATTTTGAAGACATTTCCCTTCGAAAGTTTAACGACCGCTATCTTAATATTTTGGTTGTCTGTGTTAAAGATGACCACGGGTATGTTCTAATTGTCACGGGCATAGCCACTATACTGTCTTCTATATCTCGATTGTGACATC